TTTAGAATTCCTAAGCAATGTATCCATATAGATCTTCTGAGGACAACTTGGCACCTGACCCAAATTAACAGGAGTTGCACTGCATTCATTGATGTCCATCTCATGCAGGGCACCTGTGTATCAGATCCAATTAATTCCAAATCTCTAATAATCAACGTTGTCAACCCTACTTGGAGTCACCTTATTAAATAAAATTATCACATGGACATAATTATAGCATAGAGTGTTAGATGTAGTGTGATAATCAAAGAATGATGGTTAATTACAAATGCAAGCCATCAACTGTATATTTTAAATAGCTAGGAGAATTTTCATCATACTAAAGATGTTTTTTTTGAAGAAATGGGAATGTGTATTATGTATATAGTATACATGTATCAAAGAGTCACATAATACTTCAATAATATGAAGACATTTAAATTTCTGTGTCATTTTAAACATTGCATAAATACATAATGCTTTATTTTCATTTCTGTCTGAGACTCATTCTCCTTCTACTTTTACATCTTCATTTATAGCCTATCTAATATCATTGCTAGCTAATATATAAGATATTGTATTTATCTCATTGTCTATATTTTATAGAATAGTTATGTTCAACATCAAATGATTAAAGTAATATTAGGCATAATAAATCAATAGAATTGCTGAAGTATTTGGATGAATGATTGAATGGACTCAAACTCTCTAATACACCCTCCATTTCTTAACATAGAAATTTACTTATTTATGTTTTTTGAAACAAAAACTTGTCAATATTTGAATATTTAATAGAGTATTTAGCATATTTCTGTTTTCCAATATTTTAACCAAAATCTGACTATTTCAGGTGGTTCTTCAATTTATAATTATTGACCATTATTTTTTTTATAATTTATTTTTTCTCAAATCGTAATTCATTCACACAGGGCTTATAAACACAGAAAGGCAGGATGTGGGGAAGGGAACGACACTGGAGTTTGGGTGTTCAGGGGGAATACAGATATCATCAGAACCGGGTATAGACTGGGTGAAGGTTCAGGGGACAAGTCACTGTGACTCTGCCTATGACTCGCTTGTCCTTATCTAAGTTGGTATTGTCTGCCAAGGCTACCTATTTACAAGGTCTATGACTACTCAGGCTGGTAAATTTCCACAAAAGCTGCCTGTTGACATTAGCTTATAGCCATCTGTTTCAATGTTTTTCCACTGAGACCCAAGACTTGGTGTTAGTATACATGTATGACAGGCCTATTGCTGACTTTAGGCCTATGGCTGATTTTAGGCCTTCAGTGGGTAAGCAGGGCTGCCCCTGACATCTCCTCCCTTCTCTAAGTATAGAAGGGCTGTGGCAATTCTAAACTTGTGAAAGTGTGGATAGATGCCTGACCTCCAGTATTTGAAGGGGACCTTGTAATGGCTCCAGTCCCCCTGTTGTTATCCAGTGAGGCATGAGGGGCATACCCATCCCGATGTCTTTTTCCTGTAGAGGGGATACTTTTGACATCAAGCCCTATGCAGTCAGGCTTGTCCCTCAGGGAACCCAGATAGATATTTTTATCTCTTATTTATATTCCCTTGCAGTGCTTAGCCTCACAGCCTAAGCAAGAATTCAGATCGCCTGACAGATGGGGTTCTGGGTGGTCCCTCTCTGCTTAGTCTAGGGGCAAGAAGTCCCCCCTTATTGACTGAATTTTAAAGCATATGCCAAATATTTCACTTTAAAATTAACTATCTAACATGATTGTAAATGTGTTATGAATTAGTTCTCTGTATTCTTTGTGTGTTTTAATTGTGTACGTGCTCTGTGTGTGTGTGTTTGTGTGTGTGTGCTCGTCTGTGTGTGTGTGTGTGTGTGTGTGCATGCATGCATTCACACACGTGAATTAAGTTTTTTCAGTAGTCACATACCACATTAGTTTGAGACCTGATTTCTCACTGAACCTGAAGTTTATTAATTCATCTAGAGTCTCCAGACTGCAAACACTAGGGATCTGTCTCCTACCTCAGTATTGGAAGTACAGAAGAGCTGCCACAACTAGATTTTACATGGAGAACATGGATCCAAATGAAGCTTGTTTGTTGTTGTTGTTGTTGTTATTGTTTTTTTTGTTTTTTAGGTTTTTTTGGTTTTTTTGTTTGTTTGTTTGTAGCACTTTACTGACAGATCCGTTTCCCTGACCCATAATTTATCTTAATTCTTCTGTTAAAATAAGCAAGGGTAGGATTGTGCTTTGCAAGAAAACTGAAAGATAAAACTAAATGCTCACCATTTCTTACCAGGATACCCTACAATAACACTTATGATTTTCTTAATCTATTCCATAAATGAAATGATTAAATGTCTGCCCAGATATTTGTAAGATGTAAGGAACAGTTTTGTATCATAGACAGAAAGAATAATAGCTTTGGTTGGTTAGTCTGGCTGTGCTTAGTAATCTTTCACATTTACATAAGGGAAAAAATAATAAAGCATTTGAACATTTTGTATGTCTTAAAGTGAAAAATATCTAACAATAAAAATAAAGGCTCACTTACTGTTTCTTGAAACATTTAATGTTATAATCACTTTCAAGTCTTCTTTTTTGTTACAAACGCAGAAAATGTTTTACAGAAATAACAAACTCAAGATTTTCAAATATGTCTTATAAGTGAGATCTGAATTACATCCTGTTTCAGAATCATGTGTCTGGGAAATATACTGCTTTCACAAGTTTTTAATTGACACAGTCAGGAAGACAATTCTATCTCTTTTTAAGTTCCAATTCTTGGGAGATTTGTTTAAATTAGAGAGTAAATTGTTCTGTCACTTGAATAGCTGCTTCAGTCATGTTTTTGAAACCCATATCTGCATCTACAAGCAGTGGAAATTTATTGCTGCAAAGTTACAACATGGGATATTATAAGTCATTTCAAAGGACAAATCTTGCTAAGTGCTCACTGAAGGTGCCATTACTGTTCTGCTCTTAAACTCAAGAAAAAGTCAGCTCTGTCTCAGGTCCCAATTGCAGAAGCCAGAAATGAGTGTGCATTTAAAACATTTCCATAAGTTAATTAGAGAGAAATTAGAATGAAAGTGGGTAGTATAGCAGCATCAAAATTGCCATTTTGAACCACACCAGTGGTTCTCTTTATTTAACAGCCAGCCTCCAACAGCTGGACCTGTTGGTTTCTACAGCTTTTAAAGGAAGGTGAAGAACTCCGTGATTCTCCCAGGCAGCGTGCCATCTGTGATCAGACTACGTTTTCCTCTTGACCTCCTTCAAATAATACCCTAAAGCTGGAAGCTTCTGTTCTAGGTTGATATTGGTTTAGCTTAAATAGCTCTGGATATTAATAATCCTTACTCAACCATCCAATTCCTACATAAAATCAACTAGTTCATCAGGAAGCTATTTGTTGCAGAAAGCTCCTAAATTTATGCTTGACTATTCCTGCACCAGTGATGAAATGTGAATTTATGGGGCTTATTCAACACAAGTTCTTGGTGAAATCTGCCTCTAGATAATGGTTTTGGATGAACATTAGTTTTTCTTCCAAACTTTTTTCATTTCAGAGTTTCCTCTCTATCTCAAAGTTTTATATTTCCTAACTCTGATTGCAAATTTCTTTCTAGTAACAATATATAAATGCTATATGAATGATGGAGTTTTTCATATGAAGCTTATATAAAGTTCAAGTAGAATTTTTCTTTGTAATTTTGCATAAGGGAAAAAACTGAAAGAGCAGAAAGAATTTTTTATTTCTATCACTTCAAACTTTTCTTCATTAAAGAAATACCAATACTTGCATCACAAGCTTGCATAGTACTCTACATAAGACACTACAAATGAGGCCTCAACTCCCTTGAAGTACAGTAAACATATGCAAGTGAAATACCACTGTCAGATACAAATGTGACAACACTAATATCCTAAATGTAAACTAGATTCTTGGCTCTTATCCTTGAAGACATTGCTTGTTATTATTTGGAGTAAGTAACAAATTCATTGGACATTTATACTATCTCTGTTTCCTCTCTGTCTTTCTCAAATATCTTTCTGGTTCTGTTCCTAATATCCTTTCCTTATTTTACCAAACATCCCATTTCTTGGGTGGTCTCTTTTCAAATGTGACATTCCTGTCTCCATTAGACCTAGTTTCAGCATGGGTTGCATTGATGATTTTTTATTTCCACAGTTGATCTCACTCTTTTTAAGGAAATAAGGATGGATATAAAAGAGAATGATTCTAATTCATACTGAATGGTTTATATACTTGAAAATACTAAGAAATATATTTATGTTATGTTCTTCAATTTAATCTGAATTCAAGTGCAAATTATTGAAATTTTGATGGAAATATATATATTTAAATATATTTTATTGCATATATATATATATATATATATATATATATATATGGTTATCTGACTTGAGGGCAAGTGCTTTTACCTACTGAAACATTTTGTTGGCTCTAATAAAGAATTTTTAAAGAGTAAAACAAAAGATTAATAAGAGCATTTTAAAATGAGGCATGTCACTTTCCTAGAAGCCTGAGATCAAAGTATAATAAGGAGATGCTTAATACATATCCATAGTTTATTAATGAGAATTAGAAGAATGCAATAGGGGCCATAAAAATTGAATCAGTGATGTTCATATTAACTATTAAAACTGAACTGGAAAAAGTTTAAGTCTGAGATACAGAAAGATAATGGGGTAAAAGTAGCATTGCCTTTTAGAATATGCTTAAATGTAAATCAAGACATAATTTCTAAAAATTAAAATATTTCCCTTATTACACCAAAATAGATGCACTGAATTTCACTTCCTATAATTTCCTTTAACATGGTAGCTTAATATATTAAAAACGTTTATTTAATCTAGACATCCTGAATATCATTTCATTTATTCTTGCTATCCTCTAAATGGAGCCACTATTTTTCTGATTGTTTGAAATTTATTAGCAGGTTCAGAAGACAACATTTTTATCCAACAATGATTTAATAAAAGCTATAATGTTTCTGTTTAATTACTTAGACATCCCAATGGGATCCAGGGCAATAGCACAATGTGGCCTGTCTTCACAAGTACTGAACAAAAATACCTAACTTTGAACACAGAGAAGTCAAAAATATACTCTAAACTCCGTGCTCCCCAATGCCAATTCTGGAGACTATTTTTTCCAAAAGTCTTGGAAATGACAGGTATGTTCTTTTTCCATTTTCTTTTTTAGTAGGTTTTGCCTTGTGTAACATTATGGAAATATAGATTGTTCAAACTTGGGATAGTCTTTACTTGATCATCAGCCAAATGCCAAATGATTTAAGTGATACTTTGCTAAAGAGAAAAAGAAAGTTGTGGATTTGGATGAACAAAGACATGGGGAGGATCTGAGAGATGAGGGAGATAAAACTTTGGTCAGGATATACTGTATGGAAAATATTTTCAAAAATAAAAGAAATATATTGGGATTGGTTAGATGGATAACTCATCAGGTAAGATGCTTGCTGTGCAAACATGTGAACTTGAGCTTTGTTCCAAGCACCACTGAGCTTATGGCAAGCACATACCTCCTAGGAGGCCGAGGGAGAAAGACACCTTGGGGATGATGGCAGCTAATCAGTCCAGTATGATCGGTGAGCTCCAGGTTCAATGAGGGAGCTTATATCAACAAATAGGGTATATGCTTATATAAACACTTGTACACATACAGAAAGAATATGCAATGTATTCTCTCTCAAATATAGTTATTATTAAACATGAAATAATTATTGCCTTAATTTTATAGCTATAATTTCTAATTTCAATCTTAAAAAAATTATTTAGCATCTCTAAGATTCATTATTAGCTAGATATAGTTTTACCCTAACATAAAATATTATTTTCAGAAATTATACTTTATTATTACTACATGTCAAAGTGAATGTAAATAGTTCTACAGTGTACACTAATTCTTTATGATTGGTAGGTTTAATATTTTCTTGAGTTTATACTCATTTGATTAAGAATATTTGGTTTTTAACTCATTTTAATTTAGCCATTTTATGTGTATCTTACAGAACACTTATTAATGAAACAGTGAAGGTAACATTGTCATTTTTAATTGTTAATTATTCAGTTTTATTTGGCTGTTTAAATATATTGTCTTTGGTGAGAAGTAATTTGTATTTATGATCAAACTTAAATATTTATGGAATGTTATTTTAATGTTACTTTAACAATCATTGGTATTTGCCCTAAATTTAAATGTGTTTTGTTTATATTAAAATACAGGATTATTTTAATTAATAAAAAGTGACTGATTTCAACAAGCCATTAGCTGGCAGGCTATTTCTTCAATTCTCATTGTCAAAGAATGTGTTAGACATCAAACATTAATGTACAATTTTTGGTTTGTTCTTCAGAGATTTTGTGGTTAATTTAAAAAAAAAAAAACTAAGCTCATCAGAGATGAGTCATGTTGTTTAATATGTCCTTTGAATATCAGACATTGATTCCCAAACTTGCAATTCTATCTCCATCTGTTTGAAAGAGGTTAATGATATATCTGTGCTGTGAGTATGACTAAATGTTCTGTGACATAATATATATCCAGAGATGGGTCTCTGTGTCCCTTGGCAGAGCAACAGTGCTGTCCTTGTGTTTCCTGGCTATCAGTAACAATGAGGTAACTCAATCTGCCAAGAAACCAAAACAGATACCATTGAACATACCACAAACCACATATTCTAGTCTCTATGTGAAATCTGCTTAAATAAGAGTGTTCAGTTCTACGTTGAAGAAAAATTAATGAGTGAGTGAGGAGATGAATATAAATGATGTGCTTATTGCAAGGCAGCAGAGTTATTGTTCAAACAGGGAATCTGAAATAATTTACTTTTTGATGTGCCATGATTGAAATACCAGCAGTTTTAAAAGCTGTATGCAAAACCTCCATGTGCAAAACACTTTTCTGTCACCAAAACTTTTCTTTCGTTCAACTGCAGCTGCTTGTGAAAGCAACACACATCTTTATAACTAGAGCAAAATTTATAAAATGTCCCAATTTACTTCGGCTCAAACTTAGTGCATCTTGGACATTATTTTTTATTTAAATATCTAGTGGATTCTGAATATCCCTCCCAATGTCTTCAAACTAAATATATTTTAATGACTCTAGGTAGATGACTAAGTGGACAAAATACTTACTCCATAAGCATGGAGACCTGGGTTTAAATTCTCCACACTGACTTTTTTAAAGCTGAATGTGGAAGCACCCAACCCAATGGTGGGCAACTGGGACAGAGACAAGTAGATTTGGTATGGGGGTTTCTCTGGTCAGCCAGCCTATTTGAAATAACAAGCTCCAAATTCAGCGAGTGACTTTATATCACATGTGTATATATGTATACACATTCATATGGTGGGAAGTTATAGAGGCATTAAGGAAGGCATCCCCACATCAAACTCTTACCTGCTTCTACTCAACAATAACTATGCACCTATCCGTGTGCACACACATGTATTAAAGTTTAAGGCAAATAAATTATATGGGTTTTAAAACAATGTATTCATTTAAATTTCTTATGTTTAACCAAGTTTGAAGTTATATGCTTTGAGTTTTAAAGCAAATAACTTTACGGAGATTACATTTATAAGAATATATATTCAGGCCATACCTTATATATTTTAAGATTTAAAACTTTAACTAGTCTTACCATTAGTGTTTCACATGATAAAAGGCTATGGTCACAGTTTAATTTTTTTCCAAAGGTAGCTCTACAAACAAACAAACAAAAAAATCAAATTGCTTTTATTGAAACCAGAAATGCTTATTTCACTTCACATAGAAAAGCAATAAGCTTTATAAACACCACTTCAGCCCTAGTTTACATTTAAGCAATAAGTGTTCCCAAAGTTATGATTCTTAAGACTTGTTTAAACACATGAATTCCAGCACTTCACTTCTAGGCTATACTTCAGTCCACATCTGGCCATTATTACATGTACCTCAAAGAAGTAAAATGCTCAGTGTTCGTGTCATATGTTCAGGTTCATATTTGCAGTAAAAATATTTCAGTATAGTACCTCATATTTATTTTTACAAAGAGACAGAAATTATTCATGTTCATCAATGATAGCAATAATCTCTCATTAAAAAGAAAGGATAGACTATAAGGAAAAATGTATTAGCTTTGACTTATCTCACAAGGAAGCACATTAGACACAATGTCTTCTCAACTCCTTGAAAAACTGTGGAGCAGTGTTTCTTGCCTAATCTAAAGACGACCACAATTAAATTTCAGTGCTCTTAGGGTGTGGGGAGAAGACTCAGTGTGTACAGTGTTGGCTAACAAAGATGAGGACTGGGATTTTGATCCCCCAAACTTATGTAAGTACAGTATCAATCGTGGAAGATGGACATAGGGGATTCCCAGAGCAAGCAGGAGAGATATACTGGTTGTACAGAAAATATAATGCACATATGTAGGAAAATGAAAAATAAAATTACCGAACAACTCAGACATCCTTTAACTTGGAATCGTTTACCATTAGCTCCAATTAGTTAGCAAGACTAAACTAAAAGATGAAACCATGGAAAATCATGTGGAGAAAAATGTTTCATTATAGTATATGGATTTATCATCATTAAAAAAATAAGGAGATAAAAGTTAACTTTAGATTAACTCAAATTAACTGTTTATCTTCCTGTCATAGTACATGGGGCCTTTACAATTCCCAATCCCATTATAATGTGACTCTCTCTGGCATCTCATTCAACACCAAAATTATGACAGGAAAATTAATATGTCTTTGACCTATTACATAAAGAATTATTGATTTTTGATGCTATCTTTAATTTAGGTTGAGCTTAAGAAAGTGAAGCAGTGATGGGAATTGGGGCTTTTCAGTGAACCTCTCTGTTCAGCTAATGGTTTTGGTGATTTTTAAATCAAGAATAGCAAAACTTATTGTCTGTCAACTTGATTCTTCCTCTGTTTTCATGAGAAATTTGAGATATTTTTCATTGCTTCCTGTGAATTGAATAGTTTTATACTGAACTCATATTGAAATCCAAACTCTGAGGTAGAAAGGATTAGAAGATGGGTCCTATGTCAAAAGTATCCCCTCTCCAGGAAAAAGACATCAGGACGGGTATGGCCCTCATGCCTCACTGGACAACAACAGGGGGACTGGAGCCATTACAAGGTCCCCTTCAAATACTGGAGGTCAGGCCTCTATCCCCGCCTTCGCAAGTTTAGAATTGCCACAGCCCTTCTATACTTAGAGAAGGGAGGAGATGTCAGGGGCAGCCCTGCTTACCCACTGAAGGCCTAAAATCAGCCATAGGCCTAAAGTCAGCAATAGGCCTGTCATACATGTATACTAACACCAAATCTTGGGTCTCAGTGGAAAAACACTGAAACAGATAGCTATACGCTAATGTCAACAGGCAGCTTTTGTGGAAATTTACAAGCCTGAGTAGTCATAGACCTTGTAAATAGGTAGCCTTGGCAGACAATATCAACTTAGATAAGGACAAGCGAGTCATAGGCAGAGTCACAGTGACTTGTCCCCTGAACCTTCACCCAGCCTATACCCGGTTCTGATGATATCTGTATTCCCCCTGAACACCCACACTCCAGTGTCATTCCCTTCCCCACATCCTGCCTTTCTGTGTTTATAAGCCCTGTGTGAATGAATTACGATTTGAGAAAAAATAAATTATAAAAAAAAAAAGAAAACCAAAAAAAAAAAAAAGAAGGAGATGGGTCCTTTTTAGAAATGAAGACATCAAGAGAGTGAGGCATTCATCTGTAAGATCAGAGAGAATTTTCATTAAAATAAAATGAAATAATAATTTTTAAAAAGCAAAACTGAGATAACTTCCTAATTCCTGTATGTATACGGACAGAATAATGAAGTATCATTCATTAACAAAATCCTCACAAAAGTCCTGGTGCCCAGAGCCTTGAGTTTTATCCTCAGAAATATGAGATGTAAGTTTCAATTGTATTCAGTTTACCATTGCTCAAGGGACTGAAAACGTCCCCGTTCCTTAGCCTTAACAAAAGAATTTCAATTTTGCTTGAAGTTTTCTCACTCTTTTTGTTTTAAAGACAAAGAAGTGTAATCACTTTCATAGAAAAGAGAATCTTTTGTTTGCAGATGAGACACAAATGTGAGAAGAAACAATGATAACAGAAATGGATTTAAATAGAGCCTCCCAGCCTAGCCACTTCTCTCTTCCATTTTTATTCCAGTGACTCATCAAATAAACAAACAAAATTTTTCATTTATAGTCTCCACTCTATCCACAACCCACCAAACACATGCAAATAAAGCAAACTGTTCCTGCTTTATATCTAGTAACATTGTGCAGTTTGAAGCAATTTAAAAGTGGCTAAATCACTCATAGGAACAAATTAGATAAAAATTAAATTTATGGGCTGGAGAGAGAGCCTAGCCGATAAGAGTATATGCTGCTTTTGCAGAGGACCCTATGTAGTTTCTAGCACCCATGTTAGGCAGCTTAGAGCTGCCAGTAAAATTCCAGCTCCAGGAAATTGGATATCTTCTGTCATCTCTGTTCGTTCCACTCACCTGGATAAACCCTTCCCCAATAAAGTCCTACACACAATGCACATAATTTTTAAATATTAAAAATAAAAAATCTTTTTTAGTACTAGATATCAAATTAATAGGTCATGTACTAACATGCATAAACAATTAAACTTTTTCATATGTATATATGCAAAATCACATTATATTTATGTCCAATTAATGTGCCGTAGAAATCCAGATGGGGATTGCTAGTTTATTTATAGACAATTTTTCTTTTCTCAGGAAATACTTAGGTCAAAATATGACTTAAGTTTAATTGATCTATGCAAATTTTATTATAAATATTCATGTTTCCTGTGCATTTGGCACTTTAAAATTAAACAACTATTGTCTAGAAAATAAAACTGCATTGTTCATTATTTATCATATGGTAAAGAACAATTTTAACTTCACTGAATTTAATTTTATTCATACATTTGTAGTCATTGACACTTTTCAAAAGTTGAAAAAGCTTTCTTTTATGTTCAATTTAAAATTATTTTTATCTATTTGAAGGTATTAATACATTGTTAGATCATATATTGGTATGACTAATATCAGTATAACATTCTTTTCAGACTATCACACAATACTCTTGCTAAAGTCAGTGTAGGATGTTTTCTTTGTTGGGTAGGTAGGTGGCAGCAAGAAGGATATAAATATATGTATATAAAAATTAATGAATAAAGAGGCCATGAATTTGAAAACAGGCAAGGAAAGGCATTTGGGAACCACTGGAGGGATGAAAGAAATGGAGAAATTGTGCAATTATATTATAATTTTAAAATCTAGTAAAAATACTTTTCAAAAAATTAGATTTGAAAACATTAGCTAATGCAAGTCACACAAAAATTTAAAAAATCGTATCATCACTTATCTACAAAATACTACAAAATACTGAAAGTTGGAAAAATAAAATAATTACTAAACACCTAAATGTTTATAATGGGTTCATGTAGATTGTTACTCCATAATAGTTTGCATCTAGCAAATTCTTGTACAATTTGGGGTAATATAACCAAATATTGTATAAAAATATAATTTTATTTCTTTTCATTTTCTTCAATTAATATGGGAACTATGTACAGAGTGTATGTATACTCTGTTCTGGAGCCCTTGGACAGAACTGCACAATCTGTGAAGCCCCACATGACAGAACTGCACTGTCCGTGAAGAATGACACCTACTAACTCATAATGAGTTGGCAGAGGCATGGTCCAGAATCAGAAAAGCTTTTAAGGGAAGACATCTGAACTGAATCTTACTAGGAAGGCATGGTTGGGAGAGGAGCCTGATAACCAGGGACCCTGACAAAGTGTCCTGTGCACCATGCTAAGGAATTTAAATTTTATCTTAAGCACACCTGCTTAGTAATTTCAAGTGCGGGTCTACTGGTCCTGGTTGTTGATGCCTGGATGTATTGGTTTTCACTGCATCCATGGTTCTCCTGCTTTGCATCATGAAACTCATCCAGACATTCAGGACATTCCTGAGGCAGTGCTGCTTTTGGCTCTCCAGTCCCTATCAAGAATATGCTAGCATTGTTATATTCATTATATTTATTTGTACTTTATATTTAATCTATAATAATTATTTTTAAAAGTATTCCAAGTATCCTTCTATGTAGCATGGAAATATTTAATGTTAAATTTGCCTCTTATTGGAAATTTTTATTTAAGAAATAGTACAATGAGTAAACTTCTGAAATAGAGTTTTCCTAATTATATGATGTATAATTTAAAAAATTTTATTTCAGTGTATTTTTTTCTTGGTAAAAATCATGAACACTTAATTTTATGGATAGAAAGGTTGCTTTGTTTGTTGTTTTTTTCTTATTTTAACTAACTGACATAGTTCTTCCCACATATTACTTCCATAGATTTTTATTAATATCTCTAATTTTTAAATTTATATCTTATATTTCTGTAGGTTTTGACTTTTCTGTGTTTATTTTACATATATTAATGAAAGTGACAAACTTAAGACAATGGATAAGTACTGTCTTTCATTGTTCTTTATATCTCAAAAAATAAATTGATTTTCATACATATAATTCTATTTAGTGATCATTATAGCACATAAGTAGAGGGAGTGTTACAAATACTCTTTCCAAAAACTCTGAGAAAGCTTCCTTAGCAGATATAGCCTCTTCATAAAGGTAATCATGCAGTGACATATTATGGGGATTTTTCATATCAGAAAGTATAAACCATACAGTTTTGTCACTGTAAAGAAGGAAATGAAGTCATTATGTTACAATTCACAATTCCTTCAATACATTAGAATTCTCTCTAAAAATAACTAAAAGATTACCATAAATATCTTCTTCTGATTAAGAAAAATATTACTTCAATTTTAAATAATATAATCAACATATTTCTGTAAATCCAATGCCAAAGCTCTACTTTCTTTTTGTGATTTTCTAAATGTTTGCATTTTATTCTCTTAGCCTTTCTGTTTTATAAAATTTCTCTTTTTCAAACAAATACATTTATACATGAAAAATAATGATTAGTAATGTAATCATCACATGAAAATACTTGCAATTCACAAGCTACTTGAAGGCCATTATTTCCTCAGTCATCACTTTTCTGTTTTATGAAGGAATTATTAAACTGCCTTCACATGACAGCATAAGCAACCGAGCATCACATGGAATGAAATGTATTTTAATGAATGTAAAATCTGTGTGGTATGATAATTACAAATCTCTCTTTATATATTGGCATATATTCACACATGTTAAGTATGTTGACTGAAGATAATACTCCACTGTGCATTTTCTATCATGAAGCAAGAAGTTTTTGTAATGTTCTAAAGAGTTAAATAAAATAGAAGTAATATCTACATGTCTTCTGGGAAAGTAATGAAAGGATATATAATGTAAATTGACATGATTCAGTTTGTACTTTCACATTATTTTTATTTTATACACATTTTAGCTGTATTGTTTAATATACTACATAAAAGAACTTTGCCAGTAATAAGACAAGCTGATAATGCAAAGTGAAAACTAAAACATTGCTGTGAAGTATACTTGCAGAAAATGGCATCTATAATTAGTATTATTTTTCAGGTAATGTAAACAGAGATTAAACTTTAAATTAATGCAATGTATTCCATGTTTTACAGGAGACATTGATGAAACAGAACAAGAGTGGAAGGCAGGATTCCATCGCTGGAGCAATTACATGATGGACTGGGAAAATCAATTTAATGATTACACTAGCAAGAAAGACAGTTGTCTGGCTAATTAATAGATATACCCTTTATAGAATATTCATTTTCCTGTAGATGAAGGCAAAAATACAAGTACCTCTCTCCATATATACCAAGAATACTATTACACAACAGAGAAGAAATGCCAACTGAGAATACTGATTCCTTACATCTTTCACTTAGTATTTTACCTCATATCCTGAACTGAGTTATTAGATGTTGTTTTTTAATTAATTTTTTGCAATGTATACTTTGACAATTAATTACATGCTGCTTTGATATTACTTTTCTGAATAACATTAGAGCTTTTACTTAAAAGCTACATCATCTGCTTTTATTCAATCCTGTATTTTCAGAGCTAACTATATAAAACTATTGTTAAGATCTGAATTGGATTTTGAAACAACGGATGTTATAGTTTATATTACAGTTGCCTACAATTAATTCATAAGTCTAGTATCAGTATCAAATAGTAAAACAAACAAATAGTAAAACAAAAAGTTGGCTATTCATATATGTAGAGACAAGAGAGAATATGAAAGTAAGAGCCAGAGTATCTGTGAGCAATTATACTGAAACAAAATATGACTAACAACAAAAGCAAGGAATTTCAGGTACTGTTAAAAATCATGCCAACTGGCTGTCCTGAGAGAGAAATCATGCTTCAGGCATCATTTCATGAGCATGGTTTGTCACATGAATCATATCACATCCATAATTCAACAGCCAAAGAAAATATGTGGTTCTAATATGCACAGGAATTCTAGAATAGAATCCTCTGCCTCCACACTGTGCTATAGGATAGAAGGCAGAAACCATTGTCTGGGAACTCTCAGAGATCCCATCTTTAACATATTCACAGCTGAAACAAAAGTTTGGTTTAAATTATTCACAGAAAGAGTCTGTAAATGCAAACTCCACATATCAGTCTTCCTTAGGGTTAGTACTTGAGGAGCAATTGCTGTAGCAATAAATAAAGCTACTGAACTATCAATTTAGGTGAATTTGTGGTTCATTCTCAAAATATGTCAAAAAAGTATGCATTAGGTTTTATAAAAATAAGTGTTAACAGTTGAGGTAGATAAGAACATTATTTTGACCATTTATTTATGTACTGGAAAATGTTTATGTTAGTGGTTTAATGTTCAAATTTTGGTTTATAAGAACTGAAGTAACAAGTTTCATTTTTCTTAAAAAAAAGAACCTTCTTATATTGACTTTTCATTTTCAAAAATTGTATAATGAAGTTATAATGATGAGGATAATTTTAAAAGTAATGTATTTAAATTCATGTCAATCATAATTTCTTGAATGATTATTAATATAATTTTAGCTGTGACACAATTAGCTCGATGACTAATAAATAAGACAATCTGCACATTGATGAAGAAAGACAAGAAAATCGAGCGTTAGTGAAATTCTATATCATGCTTGTATGTATGGTACTCAACAGCACCTGTTCTCATTACAAACTTGTTTGAAAAGGGAGTGTGTAGGGTGAAATGGCCTTTGTCTAAATACACTGAATGTGAAGCATTATTTGTTATCCCTTTACTCTGAAAAGGTAATCAATGAGTAATTTAATTAATCTACAAATTACTTAAATCCAACTCTCTTACACAAAGGAGAACAAAGTATATGTATACATGTTTTAACATAATAAGACAGAATCATTCATATCAATTATAGTAATATCTGCAACAGTAACTATATTTACTTACTACTCATTTTGTATTTCTTCTATCCCTCACAAGCGCTTACCTTTACATATTTCCTGGAATCAATGTCAATTAAACACTAGTACACAACAGGCCAAGCAAATCTGATTGTTTATATTCTTCACTGTCTATTTATTCTAGTAAAATGCCATATGTTCTTCCAGGAAAGGAAAGGAGAAAGGCTAAAAATAAAACTCTTTAGTATGTTAACATGATCCTAACTGAGGAAGAACTGGTCTTTAAGAAAAGTGTAGTGTATCTCACGTCCAGGGTCCTTCTTGCTTTAAAATTCCTTAAAGATCTATAGGCAACAACTGGTAGACACTGCGGCACACCTGTATTATCCTTCAGGGAAGGTAATTATGAATTCTGTGTACAATACAGGGTCAATTCTCTTAGTCAAGGATGGAGTGAACAATACTTGAAGGGATATGCTTGGATCCTTCCTCTGCTAAGAGTGGGGAGACTACTTTCTCAAGTGAGCAAATATGGTGGTCTGCATGAGAATGTCCCCCTCAGGTTCAGATATTTGAATACTTGATCACCAGTAAGGGTTGTTTGGATGGTTTAAGAGGTACAGCCTTGCTGGAAGGAGTGAGCAGGCTTTGAGATTACATAGCATCACCATGTATCTTTTTGCCCTTCCCACTTTCTACTTGTGTTTGAAGATGTAAACTCTCAGTTTTCTGTTCAAACCACCCTGCTTGATGCTTGCTACCATACTTCTCACTGTAGACTGTTATCTCTCTGGAATCATATGCACAAAATAAATCCTTCCTTCAATAAGTTCATTTGGTCTTGGTATTTTATTGCTATAGAAAAGCAATATGGCATGCATGTATACATATTCATTTGTACAAAAAATATCTTAACTTCCACCATTGAAGTAGTATAAAAAAATTTATTAAGTGGCTCCATCTGATAGAAAAGAGGGGATGAGAAAAGCAGTATGATGATTACACAATATTCACATAATTAGGCATTATAATTAATATAACATATAATTCATTTAATAAATGAAATATATATCCATTAAATATATTCATATAGTTACAAAATATAAATAAACTTAAATTTCTCATCTATGTTACATAAGAGCCAATTGTGACAACTGTAGCAAGCATTCATATGTACTCAACACGTGCAAATGCTTGTAGGCAAAAAGTTTTCTTAAGCTACTCTAATAAGGGTTCTAACTCTCTAGCCCACTACCTACCAGTATGTGGGGCTGTGATAGGGTGTCTTGGATTTTGGAAGATCATTGGCTTAGAAATGGCCGGAGATCCTGCAAGGGATGGAATACATTTCAACACACTCCCAGATTCCAGACTCCTGACACACTAAGACCTCCATTTGATCTGCATCTTTAAGTCACATAGGGCAATACAAACCTCCCTAAAAGAGGTTTGCGTTACCCTCCACTGGTAAAGGGTGTGACTACAGGACTCAGACCTTGAGAGATTTCCATATTAATGAGATACCTAAAGGCCAGAGGGCGTAGCTAATTAAATATTCTTTCCCAGACCCTCCTCTTCCCCCCACCCCCATTTAAGTCAGGTCCACCCTGACCTAAGTGGGGGTACATTCAGATTCAATTACCATCCATCATGAAAATAAAGTCTGTTAAAAATCCACAAACTTCTTTGTGTCTTTGGGGCCCATCATGGGGAAAAGCTGAGAAGGTCTTTAATGCAGAGCTGCCACGGCTTAATCTCTTGCCTGGAGGACTTCTCTGCATTCTAGCCACCGAGACTGCCTATTCAACCAAGCAAGTGACTAATCAAGTCTCACCCCACAGAGCTCTACCTCTCACCCTTCTTGGCTGCAGGCAGGTCCAGCCTGCAGGCCCCCAGCCTCAACTCTTCCACAGGTTCCAGCAGTGTCTGGAAGCCCAGGAGTTTGAGACCAGTTGATCCCTGTAAGCCTTCTTGCCCCAGGATCCCCATCCAAGAATTCTGCCCATGCCAAACTTCAGATTGAGTGAGAACTCCCCACCCCTCAGCAGGCGGGCCCCATAGTGCCCACCCTGTGCTGCTGCTGTGTGCGGGGTGGACTCAGTCGAGAATCCTGCGCTCCAGTCTCTTTGGAGCCATGGAAATCACAACCTCCAAACAAGATTCAAGAACCCATGCCCATGTGTGAGCTACTCATTCCCCGCACCAGTATAGTAGAAAAAAAAGTTATTAGGACACAGAGGAAGTAGACTTGTTTAGAAATAGTTCTTTGGGTCAATTACCATCATCACTGTTATCAGTCCAGTCCACTACCAAACATCAAACATGAATCAGCAGCTACAGACCAGTCCATTCAGCAAAAATGACATACAGACCAGCAAGGGCACATCAATCCACTCAGCAGACACCACACATGAATCTACAACTGCAGTTCTATCCAGAAGAAAACATGGGGCTCTCCAATCAGCTCACGTTTGTAGAAACCATAGAAACCTGATGAGAAGTTTTTTAGCAAGTTTCTTCCTATGAACTCACCACAAGTGAAGCTCAGCAAAGCAATGAAAGGTGAACAAATACATACATATAATCAGCGAAGAATAGTGAGGTAGAGCAAGGCAAACCAATGTTCCAGCTCCCACTGTTTGTTTCTTTCATCTATGTGTCCCAGTAAAATATCATTTGACATAACCAACTTTAAAAAGAAACAAGAAATTTTCACTTCAAACGCAACTAAATATTTTGTTTATAAACTAATTGAAACGGGTTTGTTTAAAAGTTCTCCTGACCTCATATAAAAGCATACAAATTTTCTCCCAGTTTTTCTCAGTTTTACCACCCCCCAAAAAATGCTTTCTTCCTAAGAACAGAGGAAGCATCAGTCTGAAGTATAATGTTAGAAGAGTATTCCCATTTTTGCATTCATGAATGAGAAAAACAAAAATGGACTTTGATGAACCCAGATTTCCTTAGTAGATTATATACTCACAAAGCAAACCAGAGAAAACCTCTCTGAACTCTCTACATCCTGTTAATTAACCTTCTCCAATCTTCTTTGGTCCCATCACACTGGACTACTCAGCACTTTTAGATCTTCTATCTTTTAGATCAAAAGTGTTGTGAGTATGCATGTGTTTTTATCCATCCATTGGTGTCCTACCTGACTACAACAGACGGCCTCTTCCAGTGCTTTGTCACCATTGTTAGGTATCTTGACTAAGCTCACCCCCATTTATTCTTGGGTGCTTCTTTTATCCCAAGTCTATATCATGTCCTGGAGATAACCTCCAACCCCCAAACCTCTCAGTTGCAGATTTCTACTCATTCTCATGGCCATCTGGTCATCTCTCCTGTTTCTCCCTATACCTGACACTGACGCACCCCATTCCCCTTCTCATCCCCTCAACCACAAAGTTTCCTCATTCACTCTGCCTCCTTTGACTATTCCTACTTCTAGGTGAGATTCAAGCATCCTTACTTGGGCCTTTCTTTTCTTTTAATTTCTTCAGGTCTGTGGGGTGTATCATAATTTTCCTGTACTTTGTGACTAATATTCACTTATCAGTGAGTATATTCCATGCATGTTCTTTGGTGTCTGGATTGCTTCATGCAGAATGATATTTTCAAGTTCTATCCACTTGCCTGCAAAACTCATGATACCCTTGTTTATAATAGCTGAATAGTAAGTCGTCCATGTATAAATGAGCCACATTTACTGTATCCATCCATTGGATGTTCTAAGTATTTGAGAAAGCAGCAGATGAATTTCCAGAGTAGTTGTACAAGTTTCCCATCTCAACAGCAATGAAAGTGTGTTCTCTAAAAGAAATGCAGAGACAAATATGGAGCAGAGACTGAAGGAATGGCCAACCAATAACAAGCCAAACTTGAGACCCATCCTACTGGCAAGCACCAATCCCTGACACTACTAACCATGCTCTGCTATGCTTGCTGACAGGAGCTAGCAGAACCGTCTTCTGTAGGTTCTACCCAGCAGCTGATGGAAACAGATATAAATACCCATAGCCAAAAACTGTGACGAGGTGCCAGACTCTTATGGAAGATTTGGGGAAAGGATTGAAGCCCTTGAAGGGGAAAGAAACTCCACCAGAAAATCAACAGAGTCAACTAACGTGGACCCTTGGGCATTCTCAGAGACTGAGCCACCAACCAAATATCATACATGGGTTGGACTGAAGCCTCTGGCATATATGTAGCAGACATGCAGTTCTCACTCCATGGAGGTCTCTCAACAATTGAAGCAGAGGCTTTCAGTAAAGTTGTATACTCACTCTGGTATTCCTTCCCCCAACAGAGCTGGCTTT